GAACCAGGAAGAGCAGAAATACTTGTCACCAGCATGGGAAAGAGGCATAGAAATGGGAGTCTGTACAAACCTTAATAAAATAACTCTGATGCCCCATTAATTTCCCCACTGCAGGTCCTAGGTATCTTCCCACAATTTACTGTCCCTCGCCCACATCCTCATCTGTTGTTTTCTTTTTTTCACATCTCCAGAATTAATTGTTCTTTCTTAAAATGGGATATACCCTCTTCCAACCAGGTCTAAATGCTTCTGTGGAATTTCTCTTCTCTATCTATAGCCCCAGTGCCACCTAAACATATTAATTTCAAATAAAATGTGTATGCTTTTCCTCCTGTTAATCTGCCTTTTGTCAGTCCAAGTCCCAGTCTCAGTCCCAGAATCTGAGGGTAGAGGACTGCTTCCTGCCCATGCCACTTTAGGCCAAATGCTCTGGGGGAAGAGACTGGCCAGGTGTGCAGAGGCCGAAGTGATAGAGTCCATAATGCACAGATTTGGAGAAGAAATTCTTAGGCAGAGAGAGGAGCTAAGATAAAGGCCAGGAAGCAGGTACAGCTTTGTCTCTAAACCCCTGCTTGCCAGCTGTAGTAAACTGCTTGTTTTTAGTTGGAAAGGTGACATGCTCTAATTCCTAGGAGGAGACAGTTTCTCCTGGAATAAAATCTGGATGGCACTAAGGAAATCAATGTCTTCATCAACCTCGTCACAACAGTTGCAGAAGCAGAACTCTGCCAACTGTCCGTACTGACTTTGGAGAGCCAGCATCAAGCAGCATTCAGGAAAGAGGTTTCTGTGAGGGGCTACAACGCCTCTGGCCCTGAGACCAGTGGCAAGGTGATGGGCCCTGGAAGCTGTCTTCCTTAGCAGGTGGACACCGGCCGCCCAAGATTGCCTTCTTTATCACGGATCCCTGGGTCAGCATCACAGCATATTCACTGTTTCTTGGTTCATTAATCAAGACAGAAATTGCTCAGAACTTGGGACAAAGGCTTTTAATCATGATACTATTTTCCTGCTGCATCTGTTATGACTCCCAGTTTAGGCTGACTTCATAGGATTCTATTGAAATATCACCTACCTTTATAAGAGCTGCTTAATTCCACTATGTAATTCCATTCTCTTCATTTACAAATGTATTCACACACACAGGCATTCACACTCACACATGTACACCTGTGCTATAGAATGGGGCTTTCACTTTATCAGATGTATGTTCAGTTTTATTGAGATGTAAAGAAAATGACAACAGGCATAAAATTTTAAGATTGTCAAGATATTCAGTGAAGTGGGAAATAAAGACCACTGAGCTATGACGGGGCAGTTTAGTTTAACTTTGCAGTTTTGTTCCCTGACAATTAATCAAAAAGTGCTTATTAAATAGCAACAGCGGCAGGGACATGCCATAATTTGAAAGAAAGAATGCATACTCCAAAGTGAAAAATAGCGAGTCAAACTATCACAGTGGCTGGGGAATTTCATCCCATTATAAAACATGTACTCTACCCACCAAATGCCTTAGACTTGTTATTAGTGTACCGTATCTATTAAAAACCTCCTGAGTTACTTGAGTAGATGCCTTCTGGTTTTCAAACTTTAAAGCCTGTGAGTTCAGATCTAAGCTCTACCATCTATTTTTTTCAATTATAAAAGCCTGAACTGGAAAGGCATTGAGACTGAGTAACCGTGTGTGTGGAGTCCCCGCTGGCACGGGCCCTGGTAGGTGACAGGTTACAGACATGCAGTCTCTCCTCTCCCTCCCTCCCCTTGCCTCTCTTTTCCTTTCCAGGACCTGGAATAGAAGAAGGAAAATATCTAGAACACAAATTTCACCCTTAAATCCCTCACAGTGGCCTTTCTCGGGGGGCCTGGAGCAAGGGTACATATGAGGCAATGTCTTTGTCTCTAGACAGTGACCCCTTGACTTACGAACTCAACTCACTCCTGAGGGCTGGTTGTAACTCAGGTTGGTCTGTGAAGGCTCAGCTCCTCTACGCAGCCTTCAAAGTCTCTCTTCTGCACACAGGCAGATCTCAGTGTCCTTAGACACCAGCGCAAGAGTTCTCAATTCACTCCACACAGGAAAGGATGATGTCATGTTCCTTCCAGAACTCTTTAGGGGTTAATCTGTATCTGAGACCATCTGGAAGCACAGCAGCTGGCATTCAGGTCGTAATTCAAGATTTTCTTCATAAGTTAAAACTAAAATTCCAGTTGTAACCCAAGTTGTTCGTATGTCAGGCCAGTCATAGCTCGAGGATTCACTGTATTTGAAAGTTATACACCAAGCTGACACACTGCTAGTAACATGGGATACGTCCTTCTTTCTTGACAGTCATCCCCTCATAACAATCTAGAGGCCAAGTTCGGATGTAGTTTCTCAGACCTCAGTTTCATGCTAAAATGTGCAGAGCTTGCCGGGCACACTTGCCCTACAGTCCTAAGGCCTCTCTCTTTCTCTTGCCTCTGGCCACTCTCCCCCGGAAAGGGGCCTTGTATGCATGATGGCCACACCCAGTGTGATCACAAAATACCCCACAACCATCGGCCCACAGGACTAAAGCCAAGCACAACAGCAAGCCCAGCCTGCACCCAGGAGGGCTGGATAGGGACCAGTCCAAACAGGGCCTGGAGCCGGTCAGGAGGCCCGGAGGAATCTCTCAATGAGAGAAGCAGTCCCAAAACGGCAGTGAGCTTGGTGCCACGCTCACCTGTTTGGTGGGGAGCCCAGGCTTGTCTGGATTGAAGCATCCCACTTTCACCAGGAAATCAATACCATAAAAGGACTGAAGCTAATAGGATTATAGCATCAAGGACAAGAAACAGAGGTTTCGTTCCTGAATCAGCAAAAGCAGCTATGCGTATAGCTTGAGTGATTTTCGCTCATCCGTCTCTTCCTCAACTTTTACCATTCTCACCAGGTGCATGCCTCGTCTTTCTCTTCCTCTAGATCCTTTCTTCCCTTCTGCCCTCCCTCCTAATTCTCATTTTGTGCTTTGAGAAACTTTTTGTAGATTAAAAAGAAAACACAACTAGAGGTTGTATTTTCTACCTTTAGAAAGTTACGCATAAAGCCACGTCAGTCAAATACAGAAGGAATCATCTTCACTATCACAATATCGTAGTAGGGGTAGAGTAGCCCAAACCTTCTTGAGTTCTGTGGTTCACCCTTTTGACACTAGTGGTTTATCTAAAAGCTGCAAGATGCCTTTACTGAAAAAGAGGGAGAGTGAAGTATCAGGCTTCACCTTGGTTTTTATGCATGAATGAGCAGAAAGGGACATAAAGTGCTTTGACTTTTATAAAGGCATGTGCTTGATTTGGCTACTTCCTGTTGCACTAAATGGGGCAGGAGGCAGGGAAAGGGGAGGGGGCTACTCAGTACTCAGTGGACAGGCAGGGATGGGAGGGGCTTAGAAACGCGCACAGAGAGTTGGCCGGTTAATATTATCCCACCCTTTATTCAACCTGAAGCAAAACTCAGCAAATCTTCCCCTGTTAAAAGCCGCCTGCTGGGGGAGGGAAGGAAGGGTATTGAAAATGGTCAAGATAAGATAGATACACGTACCAATTCCCCCACATGAATGTAACTGGCACATATTGCCAACATACATGAGTAAAACAGGGGAAAAAACCTCCTCACTTGCATATTGTTCGTAGTCTTTAAAAACATCACGAATGACAAGAGCTCATAATTTTACCGCACTGAACTTCCTAGTTCAGCTATTTGTCCTCTAGCCACGTACGTTATTCTGTACAAACTTCCTGCTTCAAGGTGACTCATTCTTAATTCAGGATTTTATATAGATAAACAATTCTTTCTTAATGGAATGAAATTATTACCTTTGCAAAAAGAAAAAACCCCAATAGTAATAATAAAGAAAGAAGGTACCACAATAGAAAAAATTAAGTAAAGTAGGATTTTGTGACCAGCAACAATAGAGGACTTTTACCCACTCACTCTCATTCTTTCTTTTGGTGCTTGATTAGCAAATATTTGTACTGAACATAAAATTAACTGAACTTGACTTAGTGTGGCCATGGAGGATAAAAGTAACGCATGTGCTGTAGGCCAGGTGACTTAAACAGCGGCATTTGTTTCTAGTCACCCTGGGGGTGGGAAACCCAGGGTAGAGGGGGTGAGGGCTGCTTCCTGGTGTGCAGATGTTATAAGCGCAGGTGGCAGAGTGAGGAGAGGACAAAGCTCTCTCGGGTGTTGTCTTACAGGGGCGCTAATTAATCCCACCCCTAAAGGCTCCACTTCCTAAACCTATGGTGCTGACGGTCAGCTCCAACACACGCATTCTGGGAGGACACAAGCATTCTGTCCATAATACCTATGCGGGGAGAAAACCTCTAATGACGGTAATACAGTTACTTGGGGCTTTCAGGAAAGACTGCTGGTTGTAGTAAGGAAACCTTCTGTCTGTGTGCTATGGACCTGTGCATGTCCCTCCGTACAGGCACGTTTGCGGCTAACTTTCAGCGCTGCACATTGTAAACGTAGAGTTCTCGTGGGTAATCATACACAGAACACTTTCCAGGCTTCCCAGCCCAGCCACTGAATGTCCCCGTTCAGATCCTTTCATGCCGGGCAGAGAAGAAATGAGGGCTCAGCTGGTGTGAACTGGAGGGAGAGCAGAGAGCCGAGGTGTGGTGGAGTGCAAGAGACAGGATTCTGCTGAGAGCCAGCAGTCATGTAGGCAGGGCTGTGCGTTTCTGTGTCCGTGACGAATTAGCAGACAGATGCCCGCATATGAGGAAGACGCGCGTGCAAGGGCTCTTAGCTCAGGCTTGGCGACCGGCCAGGGAACTATCTTTCGGTCTGGGCTTCCCGGTGCTGGGCCTGGTTGTGAGGTCAGAGGTGAGCAGCCCAGACAGGTGGGTCTGTCACCCAGAGGAGGGGAGGGGAGGGAGACCCGAGAGGGATGAGACTCGCTACTAGGCAGTGAGCGAGGAAGGAACGTGAGCAAAGAACTCAGCATGCCTTTCTCTTCCCGCTCTAGTCTTCGCCCACCCCGGCTGATCACCTCTGAGAGACCCGGCCGCGTGCTCTCCGCCTCCTCTGCGGGACCCCAGCTCCCCACTTCCGCGAGCGGTTATATTGCACGGGTTCCTTTACCCGCCTTATCTCCCGCCCCCAGACTTTCAACCTCTTTGAAATAAAGGTCAAGTACGTCCTCTCAATTGCTTCGTAGCTAGCCGTGTTTCCTGGCACACCGGCTGCCTCTGTTCACCACTGTAACCCCGAGACCCAGGCCCTGACGCGGCCAGCCGTGCCGGTTAAGCGAATGAGAGCCCGCTGAGGGAGGAGAGCGCACTGGTTACGCGCTGAGCCGTCACTGAGCCACCCAAAGCACAGTAGAAGACCTGCGCTGCCGTCCACACAGGCTCCAGGAAATCTCCGAGCTGGGCTCTGCCGTGCTAAGCCAGCAGGTCTCCTCCGCAGACCACTCTCAAGTTCCTACTGCAATTTAGGACTCACACTGCTCAAGAGGAATCAGAAGGATCCGGTGGAGTGCGGAGTTGGAGTCCGAGACGAGCTCACAGGCTCTGAGAGACATCTTCTCTGTTGCGGAACCCAGACCTTGCTTCCAGGGTATGAGAGCATAGATTGTCCTACTCACATAGCAGCTTAGGCCTGAAGAGCAGCCTACCGAATAATCTGAGGACCGTGGAATGACCAGAAATTCCAGTCTTGGAAAGCGCACGGTGACCTCACAATAGCCTTGGGCCACCAGTCAGGGCACTGACCAGCCCGGGTCTGTATTCAGGGGAGGAAGCCCTTGGCATCTCCCTAATGAAGAGCTCGTTAGGCGACACGGAGCCCCCTGCATGCTAGTGGGTCTTCTCCCGGTCTGACTGACGGCAAACCACGGAGCTGGCTGTTTGAATGTCGATGGAAAGCGCCTGCTGTTGTCACCAAAGCAGTCACAGTGGAGTCTTTCTAAATGCTTATTAAGCATTAGCTCCCACGGATTTTACTGCATTACACCTGAAAACGATACTTCTCAGGAGGCCAGCCGCATCTACAGCTCTGATTGCCATCCTGTGTTCCCTGGTGATCTTCCTAAGCAGAGGTAGTTCTAGAACAACAGTGAGCTCGGGAGTCTTCCAGGGTCCGATGGAGCCAGGAGAACCACAGCTCAAAGGGGAATCTGAGGCTTTCTGCCAAATGACCAGCACACCTCTGCTGCACCAAGCATCCACCTGCTTTTTAAAGTTGAGTTTCGGAAGAGAGCAGTAAAATTTACCGAGTCACAAATATTATTTCCTGTTTTATTTGGCTAATGAGAAATCAGAATCAGAGAAATGCCAAATGAGTGAAATTCAGAAGAAGCGTGTCATTGAGGGTAGCACTTTTCCTGAGTTTCTGTACAAGAACAAAGAAGAGTTGAAAAGATTTAGAAGGTATGTCAATTTAGGTTAATAGAAGGCATACCCTGTTCTATTATCGTGGCATCCATTATTCCTAAAAAGTTTTGGCGGGTGTCTTGAGACAAGGTCTTGCTATGTAGTTCAGGCTGGACTCACAGTGTCGCCTAGGCTGGCCTACACTTGTATTGATCCTCCTGCCTCAGCTTCCAAGAGTGCTAGGGTTACAGGCATGCACCACCACACCTGGCTCCTAAACTTTAAAATAACTGTAATGTATTGGACACATAATATGTGTCAGCCAATAAATTCAGTGCTTCATTTAATTATCTAATTTCATTCTAAAAATAATATGTGGTAAGTATATTAGTCTCGCCTTCACAAATAGGGAAATTGGGACTCATGAATTTTAAGTAATTTGCTCAAAATTTTGTAGGTATAAAGCTGAAAAGCCAGGATTGGAAATCTAATGCATATGACTGCAAAATTTGCTTTTTTTCCAATGTATACATCACTCTGAGAGAAATTAAAGATCAACCACTATCTTTCCTTCATTAAAAAAAAATCTTTAAGGACAAGACCACTACTGCAACTTAATGTTGAACTATGCAGAGCTTTAAAAGCACTAATTCATAGTGATACATTAAAAAGATTTAATTTCAATGCATTTAATTTAATTTATCTAACCTAATTTGTATAACCAAGTCTAGGCTTGTTTTTTAGGAAAGCAGTATGTGAAGTGCAAGTCTGTCCTATTGGTCTTGGTGAGGTTGGTATGTTTCCAAGTCCAGAATGACAGCTCTCTGTAGAATGACACATGTGTGCTCAGCACAGGCCAGGAAAGCTCTGAAAGGTCCCCTCGTGGGTACTTCCCCGGGGTTAAAACCCTGCACACCATCAACATTACAGGAAGCCTCACTGCAGCAGATGCCCTCCAGGAGAAAGGGCGGATGGGAGAGTTGGAAATTCAGGTTGGAACAGAGAATGGTTATAATAACTGCCAAATTATCTTACAACCATCACAAAATAAACTGAAGCCTTTTCCTCAAAAATCTCTTCACAGGCACGCTGAATGTCTCTTCCCACGTGTGGGGGACATTCCATTCACTCTAGGGCAGGATCACCTAAGTGATTTTCAGCAAATCCTGTTCCACCGCTGATTGTAACATTAGTTATTTTTCCACAGAGGCTATTGCACCTTCGTGTCCACATTTAAAATAACCACAACCACAGTTCAACTTCCTTGCTAGATCTCATGGTGTGACGTGATGTCCCACATCTACCTACTGAGACAAACTGGCTTTTGTAGGTTTCTAAGTCACTTGCTTTCTAGTGCTTCCAACTTCTTCACTTAGATGGGGAAGGAAAAGGAAAGAGAAATGTGGAAGAACTATATATTACACACATGCGTGTGCACACAAGCCACTAGTGACATTAAGCGTGATTCAGAAGCGGTTCTTTACTGCCCCCCATAATACAATTTTCCCTGTAATTTGTGAGTCACGTTTACTTTTCTTTGCTTATTTTGTGGGAAGGAACATATTGGATTTTCTTCTCTGCCTGCAGTGTTTCTCTGCAAGTAGGAGAGGAGCAGAAACAGGAACTGAACAGCTGGTTTCTTGGGGTTACCTTGTAATTTCTGGCTGTACTCGGTCCTGTCCGACTGGCTCCTCCTCAGGACTCCAGAGTGGTCCCCAGGCACGACGCCCTCCACCACGGTGTCCGTCTTCCGCCTCTCCAGCATGTACAGTCTGGGGCGCAAGAAGGCCAGGTTCTTTCTCTTGGTGCCCAAGTTCTCTTTCCCAGGGGGGTCTTTGGACTCCATCACAGCAAAGATGGGTTTCAGAGGTGTGTAGGGCAGGCAGGGCACTGCGGTGCCTCCAAGGGAGGGCTGAAGCCACTAGGAGTAAGGAAACAGCTACCTGCCGTGGCTGCCACCTCTGCGGAGTCCCGGAGCTCCACCCCGATGAGGTCACCTAGAATCCAACAGGGGAAGCTGCCACCTGTTACCTGAGAGAGCTGCAGCCCAGAGCTAGGCAAAGCAGGGGCTGCACTGTCACATGCTACCGAAGTAAACAAAAATCCCATTGTGTGGGGCAAGGGCTGGGGCCTGGGGGAAGGGGCAGGGTGAGGCGGGGAGGAAGACCAGTGCCAGTTCACACAACCTGCACTTCAGGTGCAGTGTGTGCCCGGGGTGTGCCCAGGGGAGCTGGCGCTGTGTTGTGGTTTCTGTCGGAGCCAGGCTGCAGCTCTTGTTCTGCTGCAGCTCTTGCTCTGGCGACAGTGGCTGCCATGAGCCCGGGCAGTGCATGGTTATCAGAATTTGCATTAGTGTCTCAACTTGGAAACAAGTGTTTTTAATTTTCACGGTGTGTGCTCCACAAGTAACACTTCTGCCTTTCAATGTGGAGCAGCCAGAGGCTATTTACTAAAAACACACTTGCCAAAGCCTGATCTGAGTGCCTAGGACACTAAGGGTCGGTGCATGCTGAGAGCACATCTCGGGTCACATCTGGCACAGCCTGGAGACAGGGATGTGAGAGCCTGAGCCTCTGAGATTTCTTAGCCCGGCGGGAAACAGTCCATTCCTGGGCCCAGCCCTGCCCTTCTGTGTCCTGGTCCTTAGGAAAGAAAATAAATGTGGAGTCAGGATTTGAGTTCTTGGTGATCTCTTCCCTTTACCTCTCACGAGGGAGCCTCAGAAAGGGCTGCTCATGCCAGGAAAATGAGAGGAGGAGAAAGGTGAAACTTCAGAGACCTGAGAGGACATCAGGACAGGGCCAGGGTGGGGAGGGAGGAAGCAAAGGCCCCGCGTGCACCGCACCGTCCTTAAGTTGTTTTCCCTTGCATTTGCTGAGATCTCTTGGGGGTGCTCAGGAGCCCTGGGAATGAGCTGAGGGTTTTGTGAGCCCTTCCCCCGAAACCCAGCTGTGCGCTGTGCGGTGCCCATTCGCAATCTTCCTGCACTCCCCCTAGACAAGACTTAGAAATGGGGAAAAAGAGATAAAGACAGCTTTCCCGACTGGGGATGTGTGGGCTGAATGTAATTTGCGTAATTATCTTAAATGATAAATCTCCACTCACTATAGAGATGGCTATATATAGCCTGGCATATTGAATGGCTCTTATTTAATGTAAGTGATGGTCTATTTTTAACAAGCCGTCTCCAGTACATTTAATAAATACTTTTAAAGGCCCACAATCCTCTAAGATGTAAAACAAGCTTTCAGAATTGATGTTAAAAATGTCTCAATTGTTTTCTAACATGACGCCACACACGCACACACGCACACACGCACATGCACACACGTATTTGCCTGGTGGTCCATATGGTGTTGGTAAAGTATTTACCAGAGTTATACTGTCTCACCAGATGGTAGTATAACTCTGCCTATGTGTTTGTACCAGAATTATACTATTTAGATGTGGTAACACTGCAAGGTTTTGCAATTAAAATCTCAGATTTATTAGAAATATGAAATGTAAGGGCACAGGAAGAAACTTTGTCAGTGGCCCATAAAAACCAGATAGAAACCTAATAAAATCAGGTAGAAACCATTTACCATGTTTTTATGTGTGGTAAATATTTAAGAAATACATAAGTGCTACAACCAATCTTCCCTGAATCTTGAAGAGCCCTGGCAGTGAGTGACTGTGAAAGGGTGGAAGAGGCTCCATTTGGCATCAGAGAAACCCATCACATCTGATGTGGGCAGCGTCACCAGTGAGCGGAAGTCGGTGATGGTGTTTCAAGGGTCATGTGTGAGTTCTGTGTGTTGCTGTTCGCTCAGGTTCTCTGGACCAGCTTTTCTGCATCTGCCTAGTGTTTTGATGGATGAACTCTCACCCAAGCAAATGTGAAACTGTGCTATAATTGGACAGTTCCTTTACCGATCAATCTGATTGAAACAAATTTATATTTTTAAAACAAAAATTAGAGCAGATAATATTCAAGTATCTTTATTATATTGTTTAATTTTACTAGTTGTAATTACTAGTAAAATTGTGATTTACTAGTAAAGTTGTGATTTACTAGTAATTTCATTAGTTTAATTTTACTAGCGTAGCGACTGTGATTTCATTGGTGAATGTGTATTTTCTTTATTCACAGTACTTTCTACATGAATTTAAAAATAACACAAAAATTCTCCAGAATTACCTTTCCTTCAGTCAATGAATGAGGCAGACAATGTCAGTTCTTTCTCAGTCTCCCTTCCCGATGTCCCCCCGTTCCATCCCCTGCCACCTGAACCCTTATTTTGTTCAAGGGAGCATTCAGCTCAGCCAGTCGATGCTAATTTTGTTTCCTTTCCTTCCCACCTCCTTTCCAGGGAAAGGTGGCCATGTCATCTCAGTCCTGGCAAACGGGACCTTGATAACAGTCTGCTACAACGCGGAGCGGGGCACTGTTCTAGGAAAGCTTTTGCTTCTCTAACCAAATGGGCAGACACAGCCAGCTTCAGCCTTCTCCCTTCCGCTCTGGACTGGACCCTAGGTGTAATGTCTGGAGCAGTCACCACCGTCCTGTGTCTATGAGGACAACCCAGAGACTGCAGGCTCTTACACCATCATGCTACTGAACAAGCACCCGCAGCCATCCACCTTTAGACTTCTTGTCATTGGGAGAAATGTACTCCCCTTCTCTCAGCCATGGCGGAATTTCTTCCTGTGCACATATTTCCAATGGGTTGGATAACAGTGCATAGTCCACGTATAGATCCTCAGTTCTCTTGCTTGTATCCTTGACCTTTCTTTGGCCAGTGTGTTTAGAATCTCCAACATAAGCTGTGATCTAGTTTTGCTAGGAATGGAAACAGCTCACAGATTTTGAGTGGGTGTCTTGCTAGACTATCAGGAAGGCAAGAAGAATAACATTTTTAATCCCTCTGGGCTTTCTAGTTTTGGGCAGAGACTCAAAAGTATTACAGTACAAGAAGTTTCTATTACTTAAACAAATAAAACATGAATGCTGAGACATTTAAATGTATTTTATTTGGAATGGAGAGCAAGCAGTTCCTGGTTCATTATTAGAAAAAGCCCCAGACAATGAACCCAAGACTCAGCGTTAGTCCTGGCAGTGAGCTAAGCCAGCTTTGTGACAGTACAAGAGACCTCATCTCTCAGAGCCCGCCTTCCTCATCTGCAAAATGTAAGGGGGAGGTGGTAACCAGTGCCATCCACCAGGTATTTTGGTTCTCTGTTTAGGCACATAGGAATATTACACTGCCCTATACCCTTTCCATTTATTTTTTTATTTATATATTAATTGGTACATTTTAGGTATACAATACATTTACATTTATCATTGGGTGCTTGTACCTGAACATGGTGTATCTTAGTTCTTATTTTTCCCCCATTACCTATGTGCCCTTCACCCCCACCACCCTTCCCTAATTACATAGTACCCTTTCCATTTATATCTGCCCATGTTACTAGCTTTGGTCAAACATGATGTATTTGGCTACAGCTTTTTTTCCTTCACCCCCAAGAACTGCTGAGATCCGGGCTGACCCTGGCCACTCCATAATTCATATGGTTAGAGCATTGACGAATCCTTTGTTGCTTTAAAGTGCTGAGACATAGGGACTTTTTTTTTATTACTGCATCATTCTGGATGTAGGTTAAATTATACATCGACATTCTTTAGGTCTACCAGTATGTAATTTCATAATTCTAATTCCCAGCGTATGATTGGGTTGTAAAACTCCTAATTCCAAAGCAGAAATAGAGTCTCCTGAATAATGTTGTGAATAAATTGGGTTGGAGGAGAGAAAAAGGAAAAGTTAGAAACTTGTTCTAGAAATCTAGGCAAAAAAAGCTTGGACTAGAGTAGTAGTGATAGGAACAGAGAAAAATTGATAGATTCAAAACACACTGTCAAAGTTGAATTGACAGAATTTTTAGTTTGAGGTGGTGAGCGAAAAGAGAAATGAAACACAAATTTGAGATCTTCAAACTGAATGATTGGGAGAATGTTGATGCCAGTTTGATGATTTAACAAGAAAGAAGGACAAGGTTCAGAAGAATAGGTTTGGTGAACTTGTCAAGATTTCTGTTCAAGACAGGCTAGAAGAACACCCCAAATTCATTGGCATTTGTGTACACAAACAATGAATAGGATGAGAGGAAAATTATGAAAATAATGCCTCTCACAGTAACTTGAAGAAAAATGTAATACCTAGGAATTAACCTAACCAAGCAAGTAAAAGACCTCTACAAAGAAAACTATGGTACTCTGATAAAGGAGATTGAAGAAGACATCAGAAAATGGAAAGATGTCCCCTGCCCTTGGATAGGAAGAATCAATATTGTCAAAATGGCCATACTCCCAAAATTGTTATACAGATTCAATGCAGTCCCGGCCAAAATACCAATGGCATACTTTATAGATCTAGAAAAAACAACCCTAAAATTCATACAAAACCAGAAGAGACCTAGAATAGCAGAATCAATTTTGAGCAACAAGAACAAAGCAAAAGGCATAGCAATATCTGACTTCAAGCTGTGGTACAAAACAATAGTGATAAAAATGACATGATACTGGAACAAAACAGCTATGTGGATCAGTGGAACAGAACTGAGGAGACAGAAACCTCCCCAGACACATTCAGCTATTTAATCTTCAACAAAGGGCCAAAAGCATATGTTGGAGGAAAGACAGCCTGTACAACAAGTGGTTCTGGGAAACTGGTTATCTGTGTGCAGAAGACTCAAACTGGACCTTTATCCCTCACCATGTACGAAATTCAAATCAAAATAGATCAAAGATCCAAACATTAACACAGAAACATTAAACCTACTGGAAGATACAATAGATAAAACACTTGAAGACATAGGTATAGGAAAGGATTTCCTAAACAGAAGCTGAATTGCACAAGAAATAACAGCACGAATCAGCAAATGAGATTACATCAGACTAAAAAGCTTCTGTACAGCAAAAAAATCAATCAGCAGAGTTAAGAGACATCCTACAGAATGGGAAAAACATTTTTCCAGTTGCTCCTCAGACAGAGGACTAACATCTAGAATACACAAAGAACTCAGAAAAATTAAACCACCTGAAATTAAAGATTCAGTCAAGAAATGGATAAGAGAGGGCCAGGGATTTACCTCAGTGGCACTGCACCTGCCTTGCAAGCACAAGGTCCTGAGTTCAATCTCTGGTACCAAAAAAAAAGAAAAAAGAAAGGAGCAAGAGAAATGATCAGACACTTTACAGAGAAAGAAATACAAATGTCAACAAATATATGAAAAAATATTCAGCATCTATGGCCATTAGAGAAATGCAAATTAAAAGAATGCTAAGATTCCATCTTACTCTAGAAAGCCATCATCAAGAAATCAAACAATAACAAAGGCTGGCGAGGCTGTGGTGAAAAGAAACCCCCTTCCTTGTTGGTGGCGATGTAACCTAGTATAACCTTGTGGAAATCAGTATGGAGATTTCTCAAAGAACTGAAATTAGAAATTCCACATGACCCAGTGATCCCTCTACTAGTTATCTTCCCAAAAGAGCTTAAGACATCTCACTACCGTGATACATGCATACCAATGTTTATAGCAGCACAACTCATAATAGCTAAATCCTGGAAGCAGCCCATTTCCCATCAACAGATAATTGGATAAAGAAAATGTAGTATTTATATTTAATAGAATACCACTCGGCTATAAAGAATGACAGATTTAAGACATTCGTAGGAAAATGGATGCACCTGAAAAATATAATGTTGACTGAAATAAACCAGACACACAAGCTTAAATACTGTATGGTATCTCTCATTTGAGTGAGGCAAAGTACAAACAAAGAGAATAACAAGGGATAGATAGAAAGAGAAAAGGGGATGGATCTTTTGCAATAGGGAAGAGAAGGAAAAAAGCCCGAGGTATGAGCAGGAGGAGAAGGGGAAATGAGAATGAAGATATGCCATGTACAGGAACCTAATGACCTCAGTTAATGTAAACATTATATGCCATGACATGAGCTAAGATTAATAACATCAACAGGAGTGAAAGTGGGATGGGGAACTGGAGGGGGAAGGGGGAAGGGAATTTTTAAAAAAACAAGCTGTGGTATGTACACGCACCCACTCCCCAAGATGACTGTAAACTGCACGAACTGCAAACATGTACTAAAAAAATTCAAAATTTTGTTAGAAAGAATTTTATTCAGGATACATTAAGGTTAAGATGCATTTAAGATGTGCAAGGGAAACATCTGGCAGGCTTTGGATTTATAAATTTGGATGTACTATTTAAATATTGAACTTAAGAATATCCATATTATTTAAGGCCATGTACTGAGCAGATCATATGGTAAGAAAATATATCCAGAAGAGAAGGACAAACATCAAGCTCTAAAGATCTCTAAGTTTAGAGGAAAAACCCAGGAGAGAAAATAAAGGAGAACAACTACTGAGGTAGAAGAAAAGCAGTGAAAGTGGCTTCCAAGAAGTCTACAAGCAAAGTTTTCCAAACTGAAGCATCACTGGGTCTCACAATAGCCAAATAAAAGACAGTTCTTTTAAGTTGTCAAGACGTTGGTCACTTGTAAGCTTTGCAGAAGTAGTTCACTAAAGTGGCAGAGGTAGAGATCAGAATGGAAGGGATTCCATTAAAAGAGCTAAAGATGTAACTTGTGGGAATGACACTTCTGAGACAATTTCCAATCATTATTATTACTGAGCGATTACTGTATGTGAAGATTATACCTAGGCGACATAGTGAGGAACGTAGAATGAAATCCACATATCTCCACTCTGTGAACTGGCTCAGAGAAGTGATGTTCCGTGGGTCACACAGCTAGGAGTCGGGACTCAGGATCCCAAGGAGGCCCATCTTAAGGACAGCCTGTGGTCTTTACCTCCATGCCCAGGGCCTGGCTGATGGTGAATGTACAGCAGTATTCCTTTCTGTTCTCTACACAGGCATCTCGGAGCAATTCTCCATTACTCTTCTTTATTCCTTGGGATTAGTCCAAGGAATCTGAAATTTTATCAGTCACCTCAAGTGATTTTTGTGTGCAGTTGAATCTTGAGAATTCCTGTGCATTTTCTCTTTGTCCAGGGTCTGTCTTCTCTGTTCTTCTTGCCAGGCCTCCTGAGTTTCCGTAAGTCAGACCGTGCCATCTTCCAGATCACCAAAGCTCCATAGGTTGCTTCCCACTGTGTGGAAGGAAACTGAAATATTCTTTAGCCCTCAGTTGGGCTGTACAGTTTAGTTTAATTTCCAGTTACTGTCTCATTATTGAAGACTGAATAGAAGTTCATTCCCCAAAACTTGGTTGCTAAAAGCAATGATTATCATTATATTACTATTCACAGCTTCCATGGGGCAGGACCTTGGAAAGGTAGCTCCAACTCAGTCCTTTTGTGTAGTTGTAGACAAATACTGAGAGAGCTGAGGGGTGAGTAACCAGAAGAGCCATGGGTGACCAGGGAGCTTCCTGTTATCCCTGATTAGGGCCTCTCTCTCTGATCACTCCAAGGGACCCAGTGTGGGCGTCCTTTGCAGAATAGATGCTTGACAGATGTCAGGCACCTAAGGGAGTGTCTTACGAGAACCAGGTAGAAACTGCACCATCTTTTGTGACCTATCCTATGAAGTCATATTGTGTCGCTTCCACCGTGCCCTCAAAGCCTACACAGAATCCAGAGTTGGGAATACGGGCTCCACCTTCTCAAAGAGTGGAGTGTCTGCGTCATATTATAAGATCTTATGGAATGAGAAAACTAACTGCGCCTGTTGTCCTAGTTATTTCTTGTTGCTGGGATGCCAAACCTGACCCCCACAACTTCAGAGCAGGAGAGGTCTGTTTTGGCTCACGTTTGCAGTCCATGGTGAGCTGGCTTCAAGGCAGGAAGGCATGGCGGAAGGGTCAGGGTGGAGGACAGCTGGTCACATCATGGCGACCAGGAAGCAGAGAGAAGGGGGGACCCAGGGAAGTAGCCAAGGTTTCCAGGTCACACCTCAGGGACCCACCTCTTCTGCCCAGGCCCCACCTCCTCACAGCAGGTCAGATGTGGCCCCCAGAGCCACGCCCCCCCCAAAGCCCCACCTGTAAGTGCATGAGGCTCCTGCAGGAATAGCCAGATACGAACCATAATAGGTGCCTTTGGAAAATGCAGTCTGACTCACACACGCATTCTGTATTCTGTCTTCTACTCTCTCTTAGGGTGGATTTTGTTCACACTGTGTGCTACACATGGAATTGCCTTTCCTGTCCTGGTGAAATCCTACACATCCTTTACTTGGCTTGAATGTCCTCCCCTCTGTGACCTCACCTTCCTGTCCCCTGAGAACAGTCACTTCCCCTAAATCACATGTCGGCGTGCCTCTTTCATGCTAGAGGAAGCTCTGTATGCTCTGTGACTCCAGTTAGATCATGAGCTTTTAAAGCTATTCGCCTTTGAAACCCTCCTGCCTAGCAGCATGAGATCGATAAATATTTGTTGTTGTTGGGAATCAGGCATCGCAGCATAAGCTCAGTGCAGCTTGTCAGTTTATGGGGAGAGGCTTAGCTGAGAGCTGCAGGTATTTTTTCCTTTTCTATTTTAGGGCCTTCTTTCCTGGAAAGGGAGAGTATAGATCTGGAAACAAAAGAGAAAATCAGGGAATATGATTTTCCCAAAGATGAGATCATTAGTGCATTTGTGAGATAATCATAAAGCCAGCTTGGAGAGCTCCCTATTCAACTATAAATTGTTCTGAGTGGATCTGGTCTTGTGTAGCTGCGCTTTTATATCTACTGATGTGCTTCCTGAAAGCAACAATTTCTGTTAATGCACTGACCAGGCAGCAGCGTAATAAGCCTGTCAGCACACAATGGACGGCCAAGGACTGGAGGAGGTAAGCCTCCTAATGTTTTTATCCTCTTGACTAAAGTAATTTCAGCAGTGACATATGATTGGAGTTGGGCCTTTGTCTCAGCCGTAATGAATCATCTATTATAAGGCTTTCAAGGTTATCAGGGGGAAATTTATCTTGGGAAGGAGAAGCATCCTGCAAGTGCATGGGATGCTTGATCATAAACAGCCACCTAAGTAAGAAAATGTACCGTTGGAATCTTTGAGAACTATCTTTCTAATAATCCCTGGTCTGAGTCTAATCACGGGATTCAGTTTGTGAGTGTGATCTTCCAGATTCCATTTAGCAGGTACTCTGTGAAGCGGTAATGTGGTCCAAGGCAGTTGATACAGGAAATGAGCTATTCTCATTGTCCAGGGAGAATTGAGAGAACTTTGGTGTGTTTGCCTGTTGCCCTCTCTCTCCGATTTCTCCCATCTTTACTTCCTAAAATTGGCTCCTAGTGGATATTATCTGGCTCTTAAGTACAAGACAGTACTGTAGATTGTTTTTATTTTGATTGGAAGCAGCCAGCTTCCTGTTTTGTATGCATTGTAGGCATGACTAATTTAGAAACATTTATTTGAGAAGAAAATCGTAACATTTTGTTAAATGTCATAGCAGCATGAAATGTGGCCACCAAAGGATCCTGGAGACTCAGGTAAAAGCAAATGATTCTCTCTTTTCCTATTTCCCAGGCCTTTTCCTTTTCATTTCAGTTGGTTTTCCTTTGTGCAGAAACCTGTCTGCTATGAGTTCCTGGTACAACGACTCCAAGCAGATACTTGCATTTCAGCTTGGATGTGAAAAGTAGTGGTTACAGATGAGGAGAAAAAAAAAATCTATTTTTAATAATTGCAGTAAAGAATCAGTAAATCATTAGGCTAAGCAGCATATTTTACAGCTTCAGTGACTTTGAAAAGCATACTGGCTACTGAACTGATCATAGATCTTAGCTTCATTAATTCCTAGATTTCTCTATGAATCTTCTAATGTCTCTCCTGGGCCAGGCATGGTGGTTTATTCTTGTAATTCCAGCCCTCGGGAGGCTGAGGCAGTAGGATCACAAGTTTTAGGCCAACCTGGGCTATAGCAAGCTCAAGGCAGGCCAGGACTACAAAGAGAGACCCTGTCTCAAAACACAAAACAACCACCACCAAAGAAACCCTATTTCCCTCTCAGTGTGGGATAGACCACTTAGCCACTTGGACTCAGTTTCTTTTTCTCTCAAAACTAAGCTTCAGCTTGATCTCAGCATTTTGTAGAGCTGAATTGCCACTCTTTTAGAGAATATTATTAACTTTGAAATTGTAGTAACCATGGCAACCATAAGTAGGTCAGTTTGCACTGAGTGGAACAACATCTGAGGGTGTCTCTTCTCCAAGCATCCTGTGTCTTCAGAACCTTGTTAGGTTGCAGAAAGTAGCTTTGTAAGGAAAGTGCCTAGCAGCATCCAGGAGGGAGTTATTTACTTCTTCATTTGTGGTCCCCACCCTGTGATACTTTCTGCCAATTAGATATCACATCTGCGAGTTCACCTTGTCCATACAACATGAATATTTGAATAATTATTTTTAGTTCTGAAGCTGTATGTGTTTCTTTTAAGATGTTGTGAAGAATACTGGAATGAATTCAATGTCCAAAGAAGTCTGTAAAAAGAAATGGACTGGCATAAAGACATCTTTCCACTTTAGTCACAGTAAATTTTCCCCCCTCCCTCCACAGCCTACGGTTTTCTTATTAAACCACTAAACATTCATCATTCCCTCCCCCTATCACTCAAATATCTACATCTAATAGTATACATTTCATGAGCTACTTTTTATAAAATCAATTATATTTATATTTATATAATTTCACATATAAAAATACTTTGGACAGACACAAATAGGGACAGTGGGATTAGAGGGAAGGTAAGGGAAATTTCCCTTTTTACCTAAATATTTGTTTGATTTTTTAATAATTTAGCAGTTAATAAATTCTTTATAGCACTTAATTCTCCCTTAAGTCAGCCAGTCCAAATATGACCTCAAGTTCTTCAAATGGGCAAGTATAGCAGCATTAAGAGAAAGTGCCATTTATTATGTAGCTACTTTGTACCATGTTATTTGCATATTCTGAGGATTGCATGAGCAATGCTTTTAGGCAAATCAGTGGACTCCCAAGTTACAACAGCCTGATATAGGAACAACTTGGGTTAATTAGGTTAATGGAAGGCTCATCTGCCTTTTGTTATCTATCACGTGTACCCAGGTAAGCACTCAGATCTCAGCTGTATTGACTTACAACCAATTTGAGTTACAACCAGCCCTCGGGAACCAATCGACTTTGTAAGTCAAGGGTCCACTGTATTATCATTCTGTTACCATGGGTGATGAGGTTTGGGGCACATTTCTATGTTCTTGTATGTGACAAAGAATTGGACGCAGCACATGGCAGTGAGGAAAAGCCGCAAAGTTCAATGAAGTTTGATTAGGCGTTGATACCACAGTGAGTGGGCTTGCACCTACGGAAAGGAAAATGGAAGAATTTAAAATGTTGTGCTTTGTTCAGAGCGCCTCCCATTGGGTTTTCTGGAGCATGATTGACAATGTGATTGACAGGGTGCTGAGTCAGGTCGGCTTTGACTACTGCGCATGTCCTTTCCCATAATTCACCCTGTTATAATTGGATGCACCAGACGCAGTCCATAGGCATGAACCCTCAATGAACTCCAGGAGAAGAAAGGTGCTGAAGAGTCTGGTATGCATGTGCCTGGGTTTGGGACATTGAAATTTTCCGAGGCAGGGCTAGGGCCTTAGGACAAAGGTTGGGGTTGGGGGTTGGCCCTGGGGTGTTGACCAGGTTCAAGCGAGTGGAGGGTCATCCCAGAGTCCCAGTTGTACTACTGAATCTATTAATTGCTGTCTCACAGATGTAGAACTGAGGCTGAAAGATGCAGCTCCACTCTGGACCAGCTAGGAGAGAGCAGAGAGGAGATTCCAGCCACACAAGCCAGACTGGGGCGTGCCCTTTCTATCAAAGAACATGTTCTTCATAAAGAGGGTCACTTACACCAGGCCTTCCTGTAGTTCCTGAGTGGTTGATTCCAAAAGAAAATAATGCCTGATTGTCAGAGCAAGTGACAGTTAACTAGATTTTCATCTTTAACCTACAGTTTAGCATTTTAGGAAACTGTGAGAGGTCACCCGCTTGGATTGTTGGCAGTTGAGGTCTAGAAGCCGAGCCTCCCAGTGCTTGAACTGCTCTCCTTGCTACAATGCATTGGTAACCTAGAAAACAATTTCTCCTTGCATTCATGCCCAAGGTGTGGTCTAATATGACCAGATGCCCAAAGGCAAATAGCTCACTTTGAATAAGTCTTTTAGGCAAAGTTCAGATGTTAGATCTATTTTTTCAGGTCTGAGGCAGAGTGGTGGGCCTGTGTTTACAAATAGATGGCAAACATTGCATCTACTTCAGGGCCCCAGGGCTTTGAGTTGGGAGAAGGGCCACAAGACCAGCTCTCAGCATTTGTTTAGGCATGTGCAAAGCAAGCAGCCGTGACTGGGATCTTTGGAAGAGTTGCCTGATTGTTTGGAAGTTTTGACATTTTCTTCCTCCTTTTCTTGTGGCAATCCATATGCAGATTAGGAGTGACCCAGAACAACCAGAGATACCCTAAAAACAAATATGCCACTTGGTTTTATGCTGAGTCTTGTCTGGCTATTTTGGTATAAATAATGCATAAATAAGAGGTGCACACCATTTGGGGATCGGCTTATGAGGATCTGGGAATCCAGAATTGAAAAGAAAAGATGTTTTAGAATAAGAGTAAACAACGAAAACCGGACAGTTTTGAAACAGGGAATAGACTATTACCTGGTACTGGGAGGCCGGATCCTGACACGTTGAGGACTTGGCCACTTACTTCCTTAGTCCTTGGTTCTTTGTGGACCCGATAAAGAACTCAGTCAAGACACACAGAAACTCATAAACCATAAATTCTTAATTTAAACAAGGTCCCAGCCCAAGGTGGGAGGGCCTTTAAAGAACGTTTCCTCTCCTGATGTCCTTGGGCTGCAGGCTGCAGCAGCCAGGAATGCTGTGTGCCACAGAGCTGGACACCCAGCTGGCTATCAGGAGGACAGTGCACCCTCTGTCCCCAAGCTCTGTGTGGTCACACAGGGCTGAGACCTCAGAAATGGTTGTAAACATCTCATACTGTGAAAACTTTCTTAGCTGGCGACACATGCTATTGGACACCTCCCCCTATTGTTCCTCAGGCCCACTAGCATCTAACTATCTACCTAATGAGACCATTTAAAGCCAGAGAAGAGAAGAGAAGAGGTCAGCTACTCTGGACTGAGACTGTATCTGCCCCCAGAGAGGAGTTTTATGGAGGGAAGTTCCATAAGCAGACTGTTAACAGGATGCTCTTTCATCAAATTTTGGGAAGATGATGTACAGCAGCTTTCACCTCTTACTGAGAGAAAGAAACAGTCTAGACCGAAGGACTCTTCACCCTTCAGTGGCCAAAGAGCATATAATTATGATGAGAGGTATGGCTGTGTGTGTATGAGAGCAGAGGCCAGAAGTGGGGCTGTTCAAGGGCAGACAGAAATGTGTGTGATGGTCTAGAGAGTGTAACCTGGAAGGTGAGAGTGTAACCTTGTGACAGGGTGAACTAACCAACATGTATCAAGGCACTTAAATCATATCACTTCTACTGAGATTTGCTTTGATTTTAGTTTTAAGAAATTACACGTAACCACTCCCAGCGCAGAGGAAGGGGCTTCTGGGCAGCTGTACCACTGCTCCCAGTGTAGAGGAAGGGGTTTCCAGGCCACCATACCACCACTCCCAGCCCAGAGAAAGGGGCTTCCAGGCCACCATACCACCCCTCTCAGTGCAGAGGAGGTGAGCCATGCGAGTGCCAACAGCACACACCCATTCTGCCCACCCCCATTGAAATGAGAAGACACTTAAACAAGTCTCAAAACCAGATTTCCAGATCACCTACAGCAATCCCAAAGGGAAATGAGATGGGACACTCTGATACTCAACCACTTGGACTCCTTGAACTGGCAACAAAAGAGGATCTGGAAAAATGAAATCAGAAATAATTTCTCAGATAAGAGCAGAGATTATGCTCATAGTGCAAGGCATGATTAATAAATCTAGAGAGGAGCTGAGGAACATGATGGAATCTCAACATAGAAAACAAATGGAATCCATAAAACAGATGCAAACAGATTTCCAGGCGATCAAAAACTCCACTGAAAGTCTATACAGCAGAATGAGCCAATGTGAGGACAGAATTTCAGATATAGAAGATAAGATTGCAATTAGTGACCAGGAAAAGAAAAATTGCTTCAAAATTGTAAGGGACCATGAGAAATCAATCCAGCACCTGCTAGATGATGCAAAGAAGAATAACATAAGATTGATTGGAGTCAATGAAGAAACAGGCAAGAGTGCAGATGACATAAAAAACTGTTCACAGAAGTGATGGCAGAAAACTTCCCAAGCAGGGGAAAAGAACTTGACATACAGATAAGTGAAG